TGGAGAGGAGATGGAGAGGAGATGGAGAGGAGATGGAGAGGAGATGGAGAGGAGATGGAGAGGAGATGGAGAGGAGATGGAGAGGAGATGGAGAGAGGGGGAGAGGAGAGGAGAAGGGGGAGAGGAAGAGAACAAGGAGGAGGAAAAGGCTGCTCCTCATCAATAGCATAGCAAACGGCTTATACCCATACCCCTTCCCCTTTTTCCAAATCCACACACCACAGACATACATAGTAAGAAACTCAAAGAAAATGAACACCCTACCTGCCACCCCAACCACCCTCCCCCTCCAACGAACCCGGCCAGAATCAGGAGCGGAATCAAGTCCCCCACGACGCCCATTTCTCTCTCTCTCTCTCTGTCTCTCTCTCTTTCTCTCGCTGGTTTTTTGCTGCTCCCGTTCGCGCGCTGATGGTGCTCGAAACGAATGATTGAATGACTGTGATCTCCGTGCTGCGTACTCCGTACTCGGAAACAATAGAAGAAGTGGAGAGAAAAGTAAAGAGGATGAGAGAACAAAAAAGCGAATGAAGAAGACACAGGCACCAGCTATCTATGTATGCAACTCCGTATGTTATGTATCACGGGCGGTGAGCCATGGCATGGCCAGATGATTGCGATCAGCGGACCCTTAAGGTTCCAAGTCTGAAACCGTGGAACGCGGACGGGGACGCGAAACGGGCCAGGGGATCAACAGGGCCCCGGGGTGCAGGAACGGGGGCCTTGGCGAGCGTGGGTTGGGTTCCCGGGAGGTTTAGTAAGGGCGACATGTGTTCTAGCGGAGCGGGATTGCCATATGTAATGCTGTATAGACATCACGAGTAAACGAATAATGCATTAGAATCTATAGAGATACTTTTACAAGCAGGTAGCGATAGATTACATCCCCCCCCAGACCCAAGAACCCAGCCCACATTTTTCTCCAGTCCCATTCAATGACTCCGAACACTCCCATCAACGTACCCTGTACGTTACAAGTCCCACCCCAAAACGAGAGTCCCAATCCGCTGCAAGACCAATAACTAGCAATTAACACCACATCTAACTCCCTAAACACCACCTCTAAACTCCCCCCTTCTGAACATCCCTTTCGGTCGGCGATTCACGGAAACATAGGTCCTATGCTCTGGCCCCTGGCCTTCGCCAACAGCGCACTGGTCGACAGACCGTACTTGGTCCCGATGACATCAAGTCGACCCAGGAGCCAGTCTCTCTGCAGTGCGGGGACCGTCTCCGCATTGGCGGCAACGTACAACGGCCACATGATGGAGTATCCGCCAAAAGCTTCCGCGGCTGGCTGAATCAGCAAGATATCTCAGCGCAGACGTTCATTTTTGCACTCACCATACTTCTCCTGATGCTTCTCCTGCGCCACGGGCTGCAAGTCCCAGCTCATATGAAACGGGACACAGGCGCTAATCTCATCCACCATCTGCTGGACAATCCACTTGGCCCGGACATACTGTGGCATAACGCCAGCGCCATGCGGATTCTGCCATGTAAGACAGGCGAGGATGACTCGCTGGCAGAAGATTCTGCAGATACGGTAGTCGTTGATGAGGTTCGCCACGGGCACGTCTTGGTAGGCGTGGATCTCGCCAAACCACTCCTCCGCTTCGGAGACGTCTTCGGGCATCGCTTGGACCGTTTTGATGATTCGATGGCGCCAGCCGGGTGGGAGTGTGCCGTACCATTCCTGGAGGTTGCCGTCAATCGTCTCCGCGAAGTCGATCAGAGCCGTTGCCTCTGGTAGAAGCGTGTCGGTGAAGGGTTTGGCGGTTAGCGCCTCTGCCTGGGCGCGGATGTCGGGTAGATCGGTGGACAGGAGGGTGAGACGGTTGGCGGCTGTTTCTCCACTGTCATCTGTCACTCTCCAGCCGAGTTCGCCAGGGAAAGGTGTAATGGGCTTGGATCGTTGCACGCAGCTCGTTATCTGTTCAATGTTAAGGAGGTTTCCATCAGCCTTAATGGCGAGGGTATACCCACCATCATTGTTCGGACAGCCTTGAATACCATCTGTGACATGGGGTCTTTAAGCTGTTCGGTACCTCTCTGTATCGTCAGAGTCACAGCTCCATCGACATGATGGGCCCATCCATCGATCGTCTTGTTGGTAGACATGATCGTCTGCATCTAGTCAGCATATGTTTAGTAGTTTGGAGCTTACGAGCCTGGGGATGGACTATCAATCGCAGGCTGAACCTACCTCATACAACGAGAATAAAAGAACAGAAACGATTATCTCATCCGACTTCCACAGCTCTTTATCATTGATAGCCTCATTGACCTTCCTCATCGCCGCCCCATACTCCTGGGCTGCCGCTATCAACAAATCCTGCTTGTCGGGATAGTTGCCGCACACAGCCAGCGCAACGGCATTGAAGGCCATATGCAGGGCCGACCCAGACTTCGCTCTCGTGTACAAGGGAACCAGGAGCTGGAAGAAGCCTCGCTGCGCCTCGGGTTGCAGCGGTAGGGTCTTCATGATGAAATCATTGATAAAGAAGACCACCGCCTCGTATTCTGGCGGTAACGTGAGGGAAGGCGCGATCCCCTCGGAGAGCCGCGACATCAGTCTCTGGAAGACTGTGAAGTCCAGATGTTGTGTCTCGTCCCCGAAGCGTTGACTTCCGAGTCCTGGGAAGGATTTCACTTCCAGCTCTTGGCTCTGGTCGTCCCACTCGTGCGTCTCTTGTTGCAGGTGTTGACTCTCATGTTCCGCCACAGTGTTGTACTGGCCAAAGACCGGTTCAGTTGGGAGAGAGGCGTAGTATGGCTGCACTGCCAGATCCGTCGCAGCTGTGTAGATCCCAGAGGCCTCTGTGCTTGACAATCCGTACACTGAATGAAGTCCCCCACTCGTCGGATGTGAGTACTGGGGAACAATATGGTTCAACGGCTGTCGGTATTGTTCAAGCACGTGCCCCGTGTCCAAGTCAACCGTCTGCAACAGGGGTGGAGCCCCTTGCAACAGCTGCGAATACTGCAGACCTGTGTTGTTGAAGGCTTCCCAGTCCGAAGAAAAAGGTGGCATTCCTACCTCGCCTGCACCAGGTTGTGCTGTATTAGTTGGGTAGACGTTCCCGGTCCCAGCCCTGCTTGATGAACCATCCTCAGGCAGAGCAACACTCTCTCCATTCGCCTTCGCGGCTTGACATGCCTTCCTCTTCCTCTGCGCCCGCTCCACCATCGCCTTGCCTTCATCCCTATGAAGCAGATCAAACTCCGGCGGGAACCCAGGGCACACCCGGTTCGACTTCTGACACCTCATGCACACGGGCTTCGTCTCGTCGCACTTGATCCTCCGGCTTTTGCACATGGCACACCCCCGGCTGGGCTTGCCCGTGTACACCATTGTGCAGGTGTGGAGCCGCGATTCAAGCAATCAAGTAAGTCTGGTAATGTCCCCTCCTCCACTGCGGGCCTGTGGCCCTTGGACCCGGTGCTGACCTGACTCCGAACGAATGTGTTGGGGAGGTGCGGGGATGGAGAATTGGAAAACAAACAGCAGATAACTCTTGTGGAGCACCAGTCGTCACCAAGGCCCGAATACTTCCTGATTGAGCGATGGGATTGGACCCCGATGACCGTATGGTAAGACGTCAGGGTAGTGGTGGTAGGGCCGGCGCCGTCCCGATCTGAACATAACAGCCGCACGTGAAGACTCCACGCACCCTATAGTAGAGCCAGGGTAGATAGAGTAGATAGGTAGAGATAGGCTCGTAGTGTAACGCACTAGACACTAAGAGCGGGCCGCTTCCGTATTCGACAGCACGGTAGGCTCGGTGGGTGTACTGGTCCGTTGAATTGTCGCCTTTGGTTGGATCGAAGTAGAGCCTAGAGGAGGTAGTAGTCCGAGGGTGTGGGCTCGAATGCACCGATTTGCATGTGATTCAGGAGCACCGTAGGTCTAGCGGCCCAATGAGGTAACAATCCATAGGCCGGCGGCATGCTCCACTAATTGCTGGAAGCAGTGGATGAAAGTTCAGAGGAGCAAAGATACCTACTCATGGCGGTACTCGCGCAGTAAGGGGTGTAAATGTTAGAAGGATGCCTGACTTTTTTCGCAAGGTTTTCCACAACGAGCCGAGATTACACGGCGCAACGGGGGGAGGAAGCTAAGGGAATATTACGGGCGCGGGTAAGCGGCTCAGCTCTCCATTGGCATGGTCTTTAGGCGGTTTCGGGAAAGGTTGCTGCCGCCAACTGCAGAAAACGGTTACGTGAGATGTTCTGGTCGTTGCTGACGTATCGCACCACGTGTTCAACGGCCGGGGACCTGGAAAGCGCATCTGCGTGAGATCACGTGAGTTAGTGATTAGTGAACGGAGACATCGCATCGACCGATGGTTGGCTCTGATTTCTCTTCTTCTATTTTTTTTCTCTTCGCTTTCGAGGATATCCCCTTTTTATACGGCTTCTGCTTCTAGAACCGGTCTGGGGTGAATGCGATAGAAGCCCAAACTCTGCGAACACGTGGCCTGTGAAATCGCTTGGTACCTACCTAGGTAGGTATGAGAACGTCCAGGTTCGGAACTGGGTGATTCTGGGAGAGTTTTATTCGTTCATTGCTTGAATTGGGTATGGGTATCTCTTTTCCATGATGCTAAACGCATGAGCCAAAAGGAATACGATGCGGCAAAGGAAAAGTGAGAAGCAACGGAAGTGAGAAACATGAAACCCCATACGCCAGCATCCGTCTCTATGTATATGGAATTTCAACACCCGTAACAGGTTACCCCTTGACGCCTATAAAAACCTCTTGAGCGCCAGCTTATGTCACCTATCCAAAATTGAAGGCGCTGCCGGATTCCGATATCAAAAAGTGAGGATGCTTTAAACGTCGTAGCCGTTGAGGGAGGGCGCTGCCGGATTCCGAGATTAGAAGGTTGGAGATCCTTCAAACGTCGTAGTCGCTGAGAATGTCATCCGGGTCCTCAGGCGGCAGTTCCTCAATGATGTCGTTTGTGCGAGGACCAGTATACGTCCTGTCAAGCTGTCAGCCTCACCGTCATCTCCAAAGAAAACAGCAACATTATCAGACTCACTTCCTCGCCCCCGCATACCACCAAACCATACTAAACAACCCGATAAACCCCGCCACGCACACGGCATAATTCATATTCTCGGGCCGCACTGGCCGCACCGTCGGGAAGAACAGCACCACGCTGATGAACACGACCCACGTGACGGCCACGGCGTTGACGGGCTTGCTCCACCGGCCCATGGTGTAGGGCCCCGGGATGAACTTGACGCGCCCCTCGTACCAGCGGTGGGCGACGATGACGGCGATGTACGAGAGGTCGAGGGCCGGGGCGGTGATGTTGAAGATGGCGACGATGGTGAGGGTGCTGCCGATGCCGATGAGGTCGAGGCACGAGCAGAAGAGAACGACGAGCCAGACGGCGTTGACGGGCGTGTTGGTGAGGGGGTTGACGCGCGCCCAGAAGCTGTCGATGGACGTTGGTCGTCAGTGATTTCTGCACAGTTGTGGGATTATAGGACGCCAGTGGTAGCAGATCATCCCATCCCCTTCCGTCCTGTGGTGAACACGAAAAAGGGAGCATATGCATCCTCCAGCAAAGGAGATAAGGGTCGAGGCAAAGGAACGTAAGAAAAACGATACATACCCCGAAAACGGCAACGCCCCATCCCTACTAAACGCCCACGCCATCCTCGCATTCGCCAACATAGCACTACACCCCGTAAACACCTGCACAAGAATAACAAAGAACCACATGGCCGTTCCTCCGGTCCTACCGCCCGCATTGAAGAAGATCTGCGCCACGGGCATACCAGTAGGGGAGGCCATGATGGCGTCGTAGTCGCTCATGCAGAAGCAGAAGGTGACGGTGAGCATCCAGCCGACGACGCCCGAGACGAGGATCGCGAGGCGGATGGCGACGGGACCGCGGATCGCGGCATCGTGGGTTTCTTCGGACATACTAAGAGGGGGGTGAGAAATGGGAGGGGGATAGATAGATACTGGGTCGCTTACTGGGTGGTGCCGTCGTAGTCGGTCATGGTCCAGGCTACGGAGAGGAAACTGGATACCAATCATCAGTGTCATCTGGTCAAAAGCTGTAGGTAGGTTCCGCAGACGCACCCAAGGAGAAAAGAGAACCCCCTGCTGCCCCATCCAGAGCCATCCATGACTTCTGTAAACACCCATTTCGCACTCTGCTTATTGGGCGTGAGCACCAGGAGCGCAATGCAGATGCAGACCGACGCAGTAACTGCAAGATCGTTAGGGCTGAAGTCCATCTCACCGGTCCCAAGGACTCACTGTTGATAGGCGCAAACCACAGGACAATCTTATGCAGCCAATTGGTTGGAAACGAGCACACGCATCCAAACACACACAGCACCAGGATGGCCAGAAGAACGGTCTGCAAGGCAGTCCTAGTCGTACAGTGAGCTCGACTGTTTCCAGAACCAGTCCCTCGGCTCTGTGTAACTCACGGTGTAAACGTAGGCTCACCATCAGCCAAGCTCGAGTGCATCACCGCCGTCGCCAACACCATCTGAGAAATTGTATACGCCAGGCTCGCCACTCCCGCAGCCTGGCCCAGGAAATTGCACCACCCGATGATCCACGCCCACGCTGCGACATGTTCGGGCGGAACGACGTGCTTCGTGACATAGTACATTCCGCCGGCCGTTGGATATGCCGATACCAGCTCGGCGACTGCACGGCTTAGTAGGGGTTGCATAAAGTGAGGGGGAGGGCTGATGGTGCTCACCGGAACTCGCTATGCAGTATGCCATGAAACTGCCTATGAACCACGCCCAGACAGCCGTGGCAGGGCCACCTGATGCCAATGGTGCGCCGATGGTTGCGGGGACGGAGCCTAGGACGCCGAGGATGGAGATGGCGTACGAGACGGTGGACCATCTGGAGAAGTGACGGCTCAGTACCTGTGATGGGTCTGTTAGCCGTGGTCATCAAGGAGGGTGTATCTCTCCCAACTTACTGGTGTATAACCAATGCGCACTAATAGGCGATCATCGTCATCCTGAATCGTCGCCATGATGTCCTGCCTCCGAGGACGCTGAGCAGCTTCGGCTGCCTTTGATGTCGAAGTTACGCCAGCTTGCGGTTTACTCAAGGCAGTGGGATCCGACTTGGAGTCTGGCCTGGGGTCCATCATGTCTTGTTAACCACACAACATTGAGGCAGGCAGGAATGGAGACGAATGACGGATAATATAAAGAGCAAACAAAACAAGGGAATGGTCAATGGGCTGACGGCGGTGTGCCGTAGCGGGAAAAGAATTGACGGGGTGGAGATTGACACTTCTGGAACAATGGTGCCGGCCAACGGTAGTTGAGATGGTCAAAGGACGCTTGTGAGCAGGGAGAAGGGGGGATGGACAGCGTGAGAGCGGCCAATTCGTGACCAGTGTGGGAAAGATGGTTGGGTTTTATCATCATATTTGGCTCACTATTGGCACCCTGCGCTGGCAGAGCAAGAGAGGTAGGCCGAAGGAAGCAAGTAGTAGACCAGTAGTATTGCTAAACGACGCCCCAACTTACCTTTCTCCGTAGTCCCAGATGTGGAGCCGGGCAGGGGCAGCAAGGCTGGTAGGAGCTGCAGTAGTAGGACTGCAGTCCTGACTCTCGACGAGTCGACCGTGCCGCGCGAATGAATGGAGAAGGCGAGGAAGGGTGTGGTGCAGGCTGGGCCTGGTACTTTGTTATGTCACATGTACGCGAAGAGACGGATGGTGAAATAATGGCGAAGGTGGATGCCAACCAGATGGAGGTGACACTGCACAGGGGAACGCTAACGGCAGCCGGCTTATGGCACGTTGACCCATACATGAATGGGAGAAAAATAGCATCATACAACCCTACAATAAAACCCAAAAAGCCGTCCGGCGTCCCACAATCTCGGGACGGCTCTGTGCGAGAGATGGCGCGTCTGAGATGGCTGCGCACTGATCCATTGTTGGTTGCCGTAACACATGGCAGATCCCAGACGGAGAATACTCAAAACGGCTGCTTCTCCCAACATCCTCCTCTGACGATGCCAGTCGTCGCTCTTGCTCAGCGATATGACGCAGGCGGTCCACCGAGCGGGTTATTAACGTGGGGAAGAGGGATGCAGGGGCTGGGCAGTGGGCTTCAGTTGCCTCTACTCTAGGGTATCTCTGAGCGGCTGGAGGCGGTGTGCCATTCCCTCAAGGTCCTTTGCAATCTCGCGGGGGAGACATGCCCGAGGTCATGCTGGACCGCCGGGCGTTGATGAGCTGGTAACTCCCACTCCCTAGACGTGCTGAAGAGGTTGGTTACTGGATTGCCAGGACGCCAGACGCGAGGACGGCAAGCTTATCGCAGGGCCTTATTCTTCCACGCTTCTTCCACGGAGGGAGGTGCATGCATGCAATCTGTACTCGTTATGTACCGAGTACAGCAAGACGACGACTGAGGAACAACCGCAAGCGACACGGCGCATGGTCAGAGTCCCAGGAACACGGTGAGAAAAAGGAACCCGTGGTCACGCTTCCCTCGCGAGGCGTTGCTTCTGGCGGATTGCGATGCGGTGAATGCGGTGAATGGAGCCAAGTGCTCCATGGCGCGACGGCCGCCATACCAAGGCAATGATCGGATGTTGCTGTTGGCATCATCACCACCGTGGCCGTCGGCAACAACCAGATTCGCAGGATCAGGACTCGTTGACCCATGCCAGGACCATTATTGTGCCATTGAGACTGGGGGGAATGAATCGCTTTCATCCACCGTCTCCCTCGCGAGTCGCGATGACCCCGACGTCCCACGTTGTAGATATCTCCAAGCAAACGGGATACATTGCCGTCGCGAAACACCGTTTTCCCGCCATCATACATTTCTAATAAGAACAAAACAAACAAGCCATGGAAAGTCTTGCTCTCCAACTCTCACACTACCGAGGCCTTGGCAGTGATTCATCATTCACCGCCCACGCGCACCCCACGCGATTCCGGACTGGTCCCAACCACACACCCCTGAACTGAAACATCCTTTTTTTTCCTGGAAGTCTTCTCGCAACCTTCCGCAACGTGGCCGGCTCGCCTGGCTCATCTGGCAGCCGTCTGTCCGTCCCGTTGCCGATCAGCCTTACCCACACGGCTGGCGAATCACCTTTGAAAGTTCGCTCTGCCACCTCGATACCAGGGAGTAAGGTGCGAACAGAACTGAAAGCATTATGCGAGTGAGATAGCGCTGGGCATATCATCATATTGGAAACATTACCTATCCATGGGGGGAATCACGTGGAAAATACATGCCGCAAACCTGTCCCGACCTTCGCACGTCGCCGCGCGCGCTCCTCTCTCTGTATAGAACCAAAGAGCGACCGTAGCCAACCAAAACATGAGAGAGGTCCTTAGTAAGGGCTGTTGACAATATCGTCCCGGCCAAGATAACTACCCCTCGTCCGCCGCCCGGGTCCGACCCTCGTCGGGGTCGCAATGCTTTCACGCGTCGGCCTGGCCAACGACCGCTTGGCTACCATATCCACCTCGTTGGGCAGGGCCACGATAAGGTTCTTGTCCGAACCAAACTTGAAGTTATCTGCCTTAACCTCCTCGGCGTAGCGTTTGATGCTGTACGGATCCTTCCGATTCGCAAGCACCTTCTTCAAGCTCCAGGTGACAATGAAGGGCCCTGTCGCAGTGATGATGGTTGTCTCCTTGTCGTCGAGTCCAATGTTGAAGCGGGCAGGAGTAAACGATATCGGTGCCTTTGTCTCGTGCTGGAACTGAGCCACGTGGCTGGGCGCCAGTGCGAGACGTCGGGGTTGAGGTTTGTCATCCTTCGCAAACGGTTTCTCGAACCCAAGTTTTCCATCATTCTTTCCTCCCTTTTGCAAAGCATCAATGAGAAGCAGATACGTGCGCGTTGTCGCCAAAACCCATCTACCGTCGGCTGACACGTCCATGCCAATGATAGGATCTCCAAGAGCAGGGATGAGGGTCTTCGCGTTGATACCGAGGCGGTCAAACAGGCGAATGTCTCCTTTTTCGGAGGCGACGGCGATATGTCCCTTTTGCGTCGTAGCCGCTGCTGAGAAGGCATTCTTCGTTACATATTGCTTGAGCTGGTCATCAACGAGTTTGTTTCCCGGCAAGCGAGGATCTACGCGGTAGAGAGCATTGCCGGAGAGTCCCAGGAACGTCTGTTCCCCTGTCATTTGAGCGAATTTCTGTCACAGGGTCAGCATTAGTCTGCTAATAAGATCCAACGAATCCAATAGCTTACATTTTCCGGCGCAAAGATCTTGACCGGTATGTCGTCATGAACCTTCCATTCATCAACCACCTTACCAGTCTCCAAATCCATACGGTAGAGATTGTTCGGTGTGTCCAGGTTCTGCATGATCATATTCGCGTCCTCAGCGTGCAGCATGACCTTGCTGGGATTAAAGGCTTTGCCCTTTGGCGTCTTGACATCCCGAATGGTGGTCGCGAACTGAAGTTGATTATCCGCGGTGTGCTTGAACACTCCAATCTTGTTGCCTCGGACAACGAAGGATCTGTCATGTTTGTAACCCACAGCCAGCTGGGAGTTGACTCCGTCCTTGTCTTGCGTTTCCGTATCGTCTTCAGATTCATCCTCGTCGTAATGTTCGCTTCTATGGCCCTCATCGGCATCCTCGAAATCTTCTTCCTCCTCATCCTCATCCTCATCCTCTTCTTCCTCCTCCTCTGGGGCATCCTCCATGGTGAGGTCTTGGAAGGCTTCCATGACATAATCTCTGTCCGTGTCCTTAGCCTTCCCCCACTTCATTTGGTTCAAATGCTCCCACAGGGCCTGCATCACGCCCTGCTGAAAGTCCTCTATGTCTTCTTCGTTTTGGAAGCGGAGAAGCCAAGAGTACGCCGATCCATCATCAAGGTAGTGGTTGAAGATGAAGGACTTGTATTCATAGTTGAACACTGGATTAATGTCTTCCACGATAGGCTGGCCCAACCATTCCCGCCCTTCGCCTGCGATGTGCAGCCAGTACTCCCAGTGGCCAATCTCAGTCACGGTAGCCTGGACCTTGGCCTCTTGCAAGATGAAGGTACCGGTGGGGAAGTCAAAGAGGTGTAGCTCGGCCGTCTTGTCGGCCAGTACGCCCAGGGCTTGAGGTTGAGCCGCAGATGGCGGCGCCTTTGTCGGCTCTTCTGCCTTGGGTGCCTGCGCTTTGCCTGCAACCTTCTTCGCCATATTTGCTTTCGTGGTGTTGGGAAACAGTTCAGTTGCGTCGGGTGGGGCAGCTACAGCCGGGCCTCTTGTAACTGGATTAGCGACCGGGCTCGCGGGTGGGATAGGTTCCTCGGAGTATGCCAAAGCCTCTAGCTCTTCCTCTCTGGCGTTGGTGTGGCTCCTTCGGTATTTCCTTTCGTACTGGCACTGAAGGGCAACCCGCTCAAAAAGAGCGGCAGTCTCCGGTTTGACCGAAGCGTCACAGACAAACTCCCAGAGATCGCCTTCCTCTCCGCTGAGGTCACGCCACGCGAAGATCTTCTCGCCCGTTTGACGAACGTCGGTACGGAACTGCAGCTCCTCGTCGAGCAGGAATGTCTTCTGGTCCTTCTCACCACCTGCTAGGAGGTCTCCGACGCTGTCTTCACCGGTCTCTTCAGCGACAAGTTCCTCCTCGCCTTCCTCGTATGCCCTCTGAACCACAAGCTGGTACTGGAACTCCTGACCTGTCCGGCGGATCGTGGCGGCGGCGTCTTTGAAGATGAGCTCCGAGTAGCCTTTAACCGAGAGCGGACGGACGAGGTAAAGTTGGCCTTGGGGGATCTCAACGAGTGCTTCTTTGGAGGTGTCACCAAAGACGATCTTGCTGACTGTTCGACACGTTAGCGGCGTTGTTGATAGCGGGGGCGGGGCAAACAAACGGCTGCGGAGCATAAACATGTTGTGATGAGTGGTGACTCTGCGAATGAGGGTGGGTACAAGGCCTCTGCAATCTGTAGCGGCTAGCTACGAGAGAAGAGACCGCCCAGGTGAAGGGGAGAACTACCTAGGGTAGCAGGGAGTGAGAGAAATGTGCAGTTGCATCATTGAGGTCCAGACGTTATGTAAGTAGGCGCCCCTGTTTCGGTGCCCCCAGCTCTGCGCCACAGTGAGGCCCGTGCGGCAAAAGACAGCAAGCATTTGAAAGACAAGAACACTCTCAGCGGTCCACACTTGTGGCGTCGTTGTGGCGTATGTTTCACAAACGTGCAAAGAAAGCGTGCTCTTGAAGCAAAGGTCTTGAAGCAAAGGCGATTATCAGACATGTTCGCTCTTAACATAGGCCTCATTGGTAACACTCCGCTTGCGCCAGTCAATGCTTTGGACAGGATACCACGTCAACGCTCCCAATTCTCCCCTTTCCGGGCCAGCGTTCCTGCCCTAGAAAAGATCTAGAAGCTCCTGGTTACTCTTCTGTGCCGGCTGATGACCCAGCTGCTGGCTTGCAGGTGGAGGCTGGCTAGTTCCCCCAAGATTCAGTCCCGCAAATCCATTCATGATATCGTCATTCGACATGGTAGCTGCTGAGCTGCCAGCAGCGCCAGTGTCGCCAAAGCCTCCTAGGCCAAGCAGGTCATCCATTGTAGACACTGGTGCGACATGGGACGATGGGGACGCGGCACGCTGAGGTGTCCCCGCAAGTCCCTCCAGACCAGACTCTCCAGACTGCGGTTGTTTCTGCAGCGAGGCAGGTGCTGATCCGTCGAAGTCGATGTCCAGAAGATTTTCGATGTTTGACTGCGGCGGTACCTGGCCACTGACGACTGCTGCTGCTGCCGCTGCGGCGATCGGATTCTCCCTTGCGTTCTGCTGTTGCTCCCTATAAAACCGTCAGCAGACTTACTCACAGATGGTAGGGTGTGCGTACTCGATAGCAGCCTTCTGCATTGCTTCCGCACCGAACCTGCCTTGGCCAAGGAATGCCTCCGGAGGCTTGTGATACACAGAGGCGAGAGTTGACAGTTCGGTAAGCAATTGGTCGAGTAGGGCGGGGGGTAAGGACTGGATCGTGGAAGTGATGGGCGGCTTGTCGGCCAGTATGACGCTCTTTGAAGTTGGTCAGCACCGATTCACCGATCGGGTTTATGCTCTCACCTTTGCTACTTGGGGATCACTTGAAAGTAACCGCCAGTACACGTAGGCTCGGTCGCGGATATCTGGATTATCGTTTTCGGCGGTTGCAGCTTGCAGTATCTTCTGCACAAGCGCCTGTGACTGATCCGGCTTCTTCAGAAAGAGTTTTACGACCGCGGTAAGAATTTGCAGTTGAGTCTAGATTCGCAGTCAGTCTAAATAGATGGTACCGCAAATGGTCACCGACGCACCTGTGTAAACTCTTCGGCGAAGCCGTCCACGAAACCGGCCAATATCTCTGCGGCATTGCTGATCTTTTCAGCGTACTCGCCCACAATCCAAATGAGCGAACCTCTCGCATTCGGCTCATCCAGATCGTCAATGCACTGGCAGAGCGTCGGTATGATCCCTTCATAGCCCGGATACCTGCGGAAAATGTCCTTGATGACCACGATAGCTTCCTGAACGACGTAATTGACCTTGGTGTTTATGAGATCCAGGAGAGTGTTGACACACTTCTCACTGGCACTTTCGATTTTGATAGCGACCTGCCCGATCGCTTTGACTGCTCGGCGAACGAAATCCATATCCACTTCCATGGCGTACTCTTTCAGCTCCGCTAGCAGCTGGTCCACGTTCTTGTCATTTGCAATCCGCACCATGATTTCCAGTTTCTCGAGTTTGAGATAGGGTGGGTCGTTGTATTTGCAGAAGAAGACGCGCATCTCCTTGCTGAGAATATCGGGCTGCTTCTGCAGAAGAAGATCGATATTTCGTAATGCGACATATTGGACTTCAGGTGCCGACGAGACCAGGGTAACTGAGAGTAATTAGGCTTTGTCGGCAATGTGAAGACGAGAGCTCACCTAGCGGAGGAGCCATTTTCTTCAAATAGGACTTTGCTAGCTCAGGCGAAATGTACTTCATGTGAAGGAAGACAACCTTAACGGCTGCCAGGACCACGCTAGGGTTGACATGCTGGAACTGCGGTGCCACACGCTCGCAAATATGTTCTGACTCTTTCACGTCGGCGGCTTTGTAGTCGGCCAAAGTCGTCAGAATGGTGACGCGGCCCCATTCCGTGCATTCATTCAACGCCATGAGCAGCTTCTTCAGCGTAGCGGGTGTAATTTTGAAAGCCTGGGTCTCCGGCGCCGTCTCGTTGATCTCGACCAATGCAGTAACCGAGTTCGCGACGACCATGGGATTAGGGTCACCAATCATGTCTTGTAGCTGTTCCAGGAAGCCATTCTCCAGGCACATCTGCGGGTTCAGATCAAAAAGCTTTGCTACGCACAAAGCTGCTGTTTTCCGGACGTAGGGTGATTCATCTTTGAGCGTCTTCCTCAAGGGCTCTTCCATGTAGTCGACCATCTTGTCCACCCGGATGCATCCCATTGTCCGTATTGCGAGCGCTCGTATGAGGGGATTGGGGTCTTCGGAGTCTTGAACGAAGGTGTTCACGGCCAATATACAAAGGTCGGGATGCGACTTCGCGTAGTTCCTATATGTAATAAGCACTACACTTTATCTGCGAATTCGAGAAATACTGACATAAGATAGAGATACACAAGCTTCTTCTGGTCGAGGTCTGCCGTTGCAATGTTCTTCAGAACGTCGGGGAAAAGGGCGGAAACGTCCTTGCCTAGAGTCATGGCCATAATAGTCTTTTGAATGGCCTCCTTCCTGTATAGGGTTCAGTATCAATATCTTAACCGGTACGTGATTGCGCCTGCTAACCGCTCATATGCATATTGCGACCTGCCACCAGTCAGCATATGAACCTATGATCTCCGGCGGACACTCCTACACCAGGCCCGCTCTGAGTTCAAACGTCTCTCCCTTCCTCGGCACCGCGAAGGCGCCTCTTATCCTACTGACCGCCATCTCCACGCTTCGAAATTAGAGAGGACCGCAACCTAGGTCTTCATGCACGTCAAGGGTTCAGGGTGGTGGACAGGTGGCGGGGTATGGGGGCGTCGCACAATCGCGGTTCAGGACGATAGTGCGGCTTCGCAGTGATTCGTAAGAAATTGAAGTGTGGTAATGTACTCCGAGCCGTTGCGCTCGAGGGCTGGTGAGTGCACAAGCGGTTGTGTGGTGGAGGAGGTCTGGAGTTTGGGGTTTGGCGAACCACGTCCGAGCTCATCTCATTTGTACCTCCACCATCACCAGTGCCACAAGTGGATCATATCACAACAGGAAAACCATGAAAGATGGTGAGAATAGTGCACAATTAATGTAAAATCAATTGAGCTAAATAATGAGTAGTCCTCCAATCTCCCCAACCTGCGGCGTCTGTTCGTTGAAGCCCGCTCTGAGGCGGAAGAGAGCGCCTATTCAAGAAACGCGGTGGGTTGTATCTTGAGTGGGAACCTTCACAGCACCTGCTGATTCAATGTGACAGTTCTACAACCTTGTGCTCTTCATGTCTTCTGTCGCGGTGTTTAGTCTGGTCGCTCAGCGCATGTCCTCCGGAAGGAGTGGACATTGAATAGGGAATATCGAGGTCTCCAGCGCCAAGACTTGTTGACTTGTAGGGTTCCTTGGTGAAGGCATTGGATGAAACGACACGCATGATTTCCAGAAATTATCGGGATATCATGGGGATTAATCTACATGTGTTGAAGAAAGTAGCGCGTTCCTGTAACGCGTAGTTGGCAGTACAAGAGTCCCAGAACCGGAGGACAGGGCATGGGTGGGCGGAAGAGAGGTATTATGGAATCCATCATTCGGAATCCATCACTCTGAATCGTCCCCATCTTCGGCCCCGCTGGGTTCGTCAGACTGGTCATTCGCGCTGTCGTCTCCGGAGACATGTGCGTCACTCGTACCATCGTCGTCGTTCTCATCCCCCGATTCCTTCTCATTCGCAGAGTCCTCCTCATCATCATCATTGAAATCCTGCAAGGTGATTTTGGATGCAGCAGCTGCCGCCCTACGCCTAGGCCGCCCACCCTCTTCAGTATTGCCCCAGCGTTGCGCCACCTCCTGTATAGCCTCCAAGTCCTTCGCCAGCTCCCGTTGTTCCTTGATCCTAGCGGCCTTTTCAACGGAGTATTTGCCCTCCATGCCGGCGTCTTTGAGCATGTCTTTCAAATGTTTGATCTTCTCTCTAGGCGTGGCGTACTTTGCAAGCTCCTTGCCCCAGACTTTTCTAATACCGCACTTGAGCAGCCAGCCTTGCAATCTCTTGATCTCTGCCTGATCAGGATCCTCCTCTTCGGCAGCTTTGGACTTGGACCTAGCTCCTGGCGCCTTGGGTTTTGCTGCCTTGGTACGTTTCTCTGAAGGGGACTTCTTCTGTCGTTTCCTCTTGACCGGCGATTCATCTATGAGGCTTGACAAGTCACTGTCGGAGTCATTGGCTTTCCTGTCCTGCATTCCCCCGTCTTTCGTTCTGTTCACTGGCGTTGCGGATCGAGCTTCCTCTTGATTTGCCCCCTCAGGCTCCTCCTCATTGACGACCTTCCTTGGACGTCGTACAACCTTCTTCGCCTTGGGGCTCTCGCTTTCCGCTTCGGAAACGGTCTCCTCTTTGGGAGGTGGGCTCGTGCCAGCCGCATCCGAGAGCTCGTCGGACGACTCCACGACCTTAGCTCGCTTTTTGGGTTTCTTTGTAGGCGCAGCGGCCTTTCGCTTCTGGGGACGTCCAGCCTCGACGTCCTCTGTTTTCGTAGGTCGCGCTTTGGTGCGAGCGGGTTTCGCGGGGGAGGATTCTGGGGACGCAGGTTCATCTCCGCAGTACTTATCCTGTATGATGAAGAATCAGTGATGAATTGGAAGAATAGTGAATGAAGGAGCTTACCACGGCCTCGTGGATCAAGTCACTGCTCTTCTGCTTCCAATTCTGATCGCTTTTCAGGAACCCGGAGGGCAAGCCAAGCTGTTCCTCGGCACGCGCCCGGACGCGTTTAACGGTGAGGTCTTCATGGTTTCCAGATTTATGGAGTCCAATGACAACGTCGCGGAGGGTGCGTGAGATGATGCTATCGGGAGGGACATTGGGAGAGTCGTCGGAATCGGACATTGTGCGGGGGATGCAGGCCTAGTAGGAATAATCTGTGCGAGAGGACGCGTGTTGGACGTGGAGAGTGTCCAGGTGAACGGACCAATTCTCAATTGGGCGCCTGCGATCTACGGATGGCGTAACTTTGAAGCTTGCTGTCGACTTTGCTTGGACAGCAGGAGAGAGACACTTTGCGGAATGCTGGCTTGGCTTACCAGAGATGGTGAACATGCAGAAGGATGGCGTCTATCTACAATTGAAGCTTTTGGAATTATTTCACGGTTCACATCATGGGAGATATATCGATGCCAGTCGCTGCCTTCAAATTGACTCGATTTTCAGACAGTTTCTCCACTTTCTGAGCAGCGCATCCAGCAGCGATGAGTGCGGGAAGCGTCTATACAGTGAAGCCCATAGATAGCGAAGAATAGATGGCACTCTTCTATCAGTATCCAGGTCTGGGGCGGAATAGCACCGGGCAAAAGATGTGCCGAGTCGAGCCCTCCGCGGAGCGCTTGGCGTCACTACAGCGGACTATTAGCAGGTATAGTGCCAAAATTCAATCGCGCGGAGAACCTACAAACCTATGTACACACAGCATAGTTTCTAGCCTAATTATATATAGTAGATATATAAAATAGCAAGTATATAAGTAAGTAAGCATAGGCAGAAGTAGTATAGGTAGGCAAATATAGGAAGACAGGTGCAGAGAAACAGGTGCAGGCAGACAGGTGCAGGCAGACAGGTATAGGCAGACAGATGCAGGCAGAGAGGTACGGGCAGACAGGCAGATAGAAAGGTAGACAGACAGGCAGGTAGTATAGGCAGGCAGGTAGTGTAGGTAGGCAGGCGTAGGTAGATAGGTTATATATATATATAGAGATACAGCGTACTTGTTGCGTATATACACTGCGTACTTGCTCTACGTACTTACACTGCATACTTGCTGCGTATATACACTGCGTACATGCACTGCGTATATATACTGCGTAAGTAGGCTAGAAACTATGCTGCGTGTACGGAGGTTTTGCAGGTTCGTTGGGCAATTGAATTTTGGCACTACACCTGCTAATAGTCCGCCGTACGTCACATGACTAAGGGGCAATTTCCAAGATTCCAAGAGATCGCGATCTAAGAATCCCATCCAGCACCTGCATTTGCATCTGCCGTCCGTTTTTTCGGGGCATTGGAACTCGGAGTCTGTATGCGGCACCCAATCTCCAAATCAATAAACTTGTGCGCATGAGTACGATGAATACATACTGTCTCGATGTCGCCGTCCTCGACTCTCTGAACTGGCGTTCCGGCGGCGGAGTGTTTGGCCGTCCGCCCGCCCGCTGTGCCCCGCCATAGCCAATGGCCAAGAGCCTAAGCGCGGCGACGTCACTGCTTCGAATTCATGGCGATGACGACCCAAAAGCCAACCAGCTGGTGCTCGATTTTCGTGTCTCGAACCACAATCATTCTTTGCTTGTTGGGGCCACACAGAAACCACCGTTGCAGGAACGCTCATCGCTCCGCCAGCTGTTCCCATCCTTGGCGCCATATCTGCTCCATCTGATCTTTTTTCTCTATCCAACCCTCCTTCTTCCCACTTCCACCTTTTTCCGCGCCCAACACGCCCAACGCTTTGACCCCTCCCTTCCATCAAACCCTTCCTCTACTTGTCACCGACGTCACCACCATTGTCCGGCAAAAGAGATTTCCACCCTCACTATCTGCAACGCCGCATCCGCATCCATCCGTTGACAATAATTGACTGAGCCGCCCGCATACCTGCCGCTCACACAGCACTGCTTGCGGCAAACGCTACCCTCCAACGCTTGCCTGTCTACACCACTCTCGTCTCGCCAAAGATGCCCTCCGTTCCCGAGGGAGGTCGTCTCCTCCTCATTTCCAACCGCCTTCCCATCACCATCAAGCGATCCGAAGATGGAAAGTTCGACTTCTCCATGTCCTCCGGCGGACTTGTCAGCGGCCTGAGCGGCCTATCCAAGACCACCACCTTCCAGTGGTACGGCTGGCCCGGCATGGAAGTCCCCGAGAACGAGATCCCGACCCTCAAGAGCCGTTTAAAGGAAGAGTACAACGCCGTCCCGGTCATGCTAGACGACGAGCTTGCAGATAGGCACTACAATGGCTTCTCAAGTATGGCTGCTGTCCCACGCCCTGACCTCCCATAGCTAACAAGGTGCTTCAGATTCCATCCTTTGGCCGCTTTTCCACTACCATCCCGGAGAGATTACCTTCGACGAGTCGGCTTGGGAGGGATACAAGGAGGCAAACCGCTTGTTTGCGAAGGCAATCGCCACCGACGTTCAGGACAATGATTTGGTTTGGGTGCATGACTACCACCTCATGCTTCTGCCAGCAATGCTGCGCGAAGAGATTGGCGACACCAAGAAGAACGTGAAGTTTGGCTTTTTCCTGCACACTCCGTTCCCGAGCTCCGAAATCTATCGCATCCTTCCCGTTCGCAATGAGATTTTGCTCGGCGTGTTGCACTGCGATCTGATTGGGTTCCATACGTACGACTATGCGAGGCATTTCCTCAGCAGCTGCTCCAGGATACTGTAAGTTTCCCAAGGCTCAATCATTCCATGACCTTGTCTAGTTGCTGACGAACCTCAAGAGGACTGCCCACGACACCAAACGGAGTCGAGTTCCAGGGCAAGGTGATAACGGTCGGCGCTTTCCCTATCGGCATTGACCCGGAAAAGTTCGAGGAAGGCCTGAAGAAGCCCAAGGTTCAGGAGCGGATCGCCACTCTTGAGCGCAAGTTCCAAGGCGTCAAACTGATTGTGGGAGTCGACCGTCTCGACTACATCAAGGGTGTTCCGCAGAAGTTGCACGCTCTAGAGGTGTTCCTCACCGAACACCCGGAGTGGATAGGCAAGGTTGTCCTGGTACAGGTGGCTGTCCCTAGTCGGCAGGACGTCGAGGAGTACCAGAACCTGCGAGCCGTGGTTAACGAGCTGGTCGGCAGGATCAACGGGAAGTTCGGCACGATCGAGTTCATGCCCATCCACTTCATGCACAAGTCGGTCTCGTTTGACGAGCTGATTGCGCTGTACGCCGTATCGGACGTGTGTCTTGTCTCGTCGACGCGCGACGGCATGAACCTCGTCTCGTACGAGTACATTGCGTGCCAGCAGAAGAGGCATGGCGTCATGATCCTTTCCGAATTCACGGGTGCTGCGCAGAGTCTGAACGGAAGCATCATTGTGAATCCCTGGAACACGGAGGAGCTGGCGGATGCAATCCACGATGCCGTCACGATGGGCGAGGAGCAGCGTCTGTACAACTACCAGAAGCTGGCCAAGTACGTGAACAAGTACACGAGGTGAGTGCCGGATTTCCAGACTTGCTTCTTTAGTTTTTCTAACATGGTTCCAGTGCATGGTGGGGCGAGTCGTTTGTCAACGAGCTCACGCGCATCTCGGAGCAGGGCAAGGGCAGGAACGTCAAGATCCGGCCGGGCGCCATCACGGAGGGCAAGACGGATTATGCAGCTGCTGAGGAGGCGGCCTCGATACCGATCCGGCCCAAGGAGGCGGAGGCGGAGGTGAAGCCGGAGCAGTAGTCGTAGTGATTGGCGATAAAGGAATGCATAGAAGGGTGAGCCTTTTCTTTTCCTCCCTCGTAGTTTGCGGCTAGAGATTTATTATCGCGGGCAAGATTGGGTGGGAGTTGGTGTATGTGTGGTTCATCTCTCCGGTTGGGCGGTGTAGCTCGGTGAAGCTGTACGTATGTCTCTCTCTGTTTCTTTTTATTTCCTTGGCTTCAGTAGCGAGCTAGCATGGGAAATGCATGGGGTGGAATTGATCGTATGATGCTCAAGCTTCGCTTTTTTTGCTTTGTTTTGCTTTGTTTTGCTCTGCTTTGCTTTAGTCAAGTGCCGATTTGAAGTTGTGACACCCATCAAAGTTGAAGTCCCACATGCAGGGTACCCAGCCGTGAATAGATCGATCACGTGAGCGTCACGAAACCCCTGGAAATGCGCCAGCCTTGAACTTCTCTCCATTAGCCCCCTATTCCGCGATGGGGAATCCTTCGTAACCTAGAAGAGATAGTGAGATGCCGGATAGTAGAGAGCAGTAAAATATACAGCTGTTACCCAATGTAGAAAAAAAGTCAGAAACCCGGCGAGAAACCCAAACCAAACAAAACAAGATCGCCGCCCGCCCGACCAGAATCCCGGATAGCCATAGCCCAAAGGAAAAGAAAGAGAAGAAAGAAATGGCAAGGACGACGTGTGTCCCGGGAAACCACGAGGTATGAACGTGTGCCTGTGCCCAGGCGTTCACTCGCTCCTCGGTTGTGGATATACCGTTGCAACAAGAAAGGCCCTCCGTTCTCCCGTCTTGTCCTTGCCCGGTGTCCAAATCGTACCTTCTAAATAACCCAGATGCATGACAACAAGCAAGCAAGCAATCCTCCTAGGAGGGGGAAGGTAGATGGGTGGGTATAAATACATTGCAGAACGACGAACCAGCTTTGCTCGACTTCCGACTTCCAACTGCGGCGGATGCGAAAAAGGAGAACGGGTTTCACTGCTGTTGCGGAGGGATCTGCTGCTGCTGCTGCTGCTGGGTCCCTGGTTCTGGCTTCATCATTTGCTGGCCCGGTTCCGCTTTCATCATTTGCTGTTGGAGCGGCTGCTGCTGCTGGGGTTGTTGCTGGTTCATCTGTCCTTGTTGCTGCTGTTGCGATGGGTTCATCTGCCCTTGTTGCTGTTGCGCTTGATTCATCTGCGCTTGCTGCTGCTGTTGCCCCGGCGCCGGCGACGCCTTCATCATCTGCTGCACCGGCGCACCCTTCCACGACGGAAACAACCCCTGCAACTTCAAGTACAGCTTGACGAGTTCGTCTGGCGAGTTCGGCGGCGTCATGATGGCGGGGCCAGGCATGGTGAGTTTCCGTTCTGCCGTCTGGGCCAAGAAGGCGAGGTTGACTTGGAGACGACGCATGTAGCTGTTGTTATGAATCAGCCTTTCTATTCTGACAAACACCAGGAGTGCTTGATAACTCACTCGGTATACTCCTTCGACGGACTCTGGGCCGGCTTCTCCCCCGCTTGTTGCGAATCCTGGCTGCCGCCTACCACTCCGCCCTTGCCCTGCGAGACCAGGTCGGTGATTTCTCTCAACAGGATCATGTTGATGTCTAGCAGGGTCTGTATGCGTTCTTTCTCCCGTGCCTGGGCGACCGGTGATAAAGGTGATGCCGGTTGCGCCTTTATGGGGGTCTGGGCCTGTGGTTGAGCCGTCATGGCCTGGGGTACTTGTACTTGGGGTTGACTTGGTTGCGGTTGCTGTAGCTGGAGCTGCGGCTGTTGGGGTTGGGGTTGTGGTTGCGGCGGCATGGAGAGCTGGCCGTTTGCGGGGAGGGCGATGGGGGAGTGTTGGACTGGAGTCTGGCTACCATATGGGCTCTGGTGATGGGTAGCGCTTGACGGTGAGGCTGTCTGGCGGTTCGGCACGAATTGAGGGTTGACGGGCGAGGCTATGGGTTGGGAGAAGGAGGCGGTAGAGAAGGGTATGGGCGAAGGCTGAGGCTGGTGGTTCAGTTGCTGATGTTGGTGTTGTTGGTGCTGTTGCTGAAGCGCGACTGCCATGCATCATGTCCTGTCAGCATTCGTTCTGCGAGAGAAGCTTTGGGTCGGGCTGAGCAGCCACGAGGCACGCACCAAGAAGGGCAAAGGGAAGAGCATCGGGGGAGGACATGTCTGAGTACATACCTCGTGCCTGGTGAAGCTGGTTCTGCGGCAGGCCTCCGGGCTGCATCAAGCCACCAGTCGGGGGGACGCCGCCACCCATCTGGGTGAAGGCGGCGGCGGGAGTGCCATTGGGGAACTGCTGGCCGTACTGGAAGGGCGACGGCGAGGACTGCAAGAAGCGGGCATCGGGGTAGGCCTGGTGCTGCTGGTGCTGAGGCGTCTGGTGGTGGAGGAGCTGCTGTTGTTGTTGCGGGGAAGGAGAGGGCTGGGTGACGAATGGGCCGGCGTGGTGGTGATTGTGGGCGGGAGTGCCTGGCAGGGTGGGGAACGGGCCACCAAAGGAGGGATGCTGCTGGGTGGTGAAGGTTTGGTAATCCATCGGAGCAGTGGTAGTCATTGGGCGGCGGTGGTACAGCCGTTTAGATTATTGGGGGTTGGGTGGATGGGATGATCGGGGGGGAGGATTCAGGTGTGATGGAGGCCATGGCCGAGGGAGGGTGGTGGCGGACGGGCTTTTCGAGGCCCCCATGGCGCCGGGTTAGCTGCTGGTGTGCCCTGCATAGTTGGAAAGGAGAGAAAGATTCACCACAACAACAATTCACATTTATTCGGCACAGAGGAGAGTCAGAGAGGAGGAGAGGAGGAGGATGAGGAGAAAAGAGCAGCAGGAAAAAGGAACGGCACAAAATGGGAGGTGCGGGGGAAATGGACCTGGGGAACGCGCAACCAACTCTTCTCCCCGTCAATTCACGGCACGACTCCAGCTGGAACGGGACCCAACGGAACAGACAATCCCTGCCGCCCCTTGGCTCCACACCAAGTACGGGGAATACCTAGCCCTATCTACTAATGGCCAGAGCCGCCAGACTACTCCCGGACTTTGCACTGTTTCCGACGACTATACTATTATGTCGACGATGTGGTAGTACCAGCGGATCTCCATGGGTGCCGCCGTATTCGCAGCGGGGGAGGATCAAGATGGGGTGGGAAATAGGTATCCCGGAAACCATAGCCGTCGTTATTATACCGCATAGCTGCTTCTGGCTACGCTGTCTCTTCAATCGGTGAGACTCTGACTCTGACTCTGACTCTGACACGAGCTCCCGGACTTTGCCTGGGCCAATGTATGCCCTGGGACGAGACTGCGCCGCAGTCGGTGACGAGCCGGCTTGATACCTGACATGGACACTTGACAGGACACAAGTCGAGCAACTTGAACGACTCAACAAAATCCTCGTTGGTTTCCTTTTATATTGGCTACCTACTAGACAAGGGGGTATCGGAACACAAACATTTCAAGTATGGTTACATGTTATGTTGTACATGTTTGCCGCTACACGTGGCGGCGGACCTGCGCTTCCATGTGTGCAAATTGCAAACCCTCCACCGAAATCCTGTATCTACACTGTACCGAGTGCACACACATCCCTACTCTTGCCATACCATCTCCTTGGTTGGCTTCTCCTTGCGACGGAGAGCCACAAAGTACGCTTCTTTCGATTCCTGGAAGTGAATCGTCAGCACGCACATCACGTGATCTCACAAGGGAGGGCTGCATTACACTTCTCGACGCAGCGGGCTTGTATCTGTGTACCATGCCAAACATGCGCCTCAGCCTCGTCTCCAGCACGTTGTCCTCGGGGCCTTGGTAGAATTTGCACACAAAGTGGCCGTTTGTACGGAGCGTGTCAAACGCAAACATCAGCGCAGCATTGCAGAGATCCTGCCCCTTGTCAGCCGCAATACCTCTCTGGATGGGATTCCATAGCAACTCACCATGCTGTCCGCATGGTCCTTGAATGCAATCCCACTCGTGTTGGCCAGCCTAGAATAGGGGTCACTAAGGCTCCTCTTATTAAACCCGCTGGTCTGCTCCCAGGGTTCGCACATGTCACTCAGCACCACATCGACCACCCTGCCGCGTCGTCTATCTCGTTCCTTGGCACCCTCCTTCTTCTCCGAGGTGCTCTTGTCCTCCTCCTTTCCTTCCTCCGCTCCTTCGAGATGCATGTGCCGTTCCAGATCAATATACCCTCGTTCCAGCTCTTCCAGTTCATCTTCAGTGAATCCCTCCTTTTCGTGCGGCACCGAAACCTGGCTGCGGGGCCGACCGAGGTCCGGCTGTTGTAGGTAGGCCTTGACTTCGGCCTGGATATCGGGGGACAGGAAGTTGCCTTGTATGGTAGATACGCCTCTCGGCGGCTGTGCGGGTATCAGGTCGATGCCAATCACTCTGCCGTTTGGACCTGCTTTCTTCGCTGCGACCTGGCCGACTATGTTAGACACAGCCAGATGGGATGACTAGAGCTGGAGCCACACCTGCGACCACGAGCCCGGCGCAAATCCCTTGGCTATTGATTAGCTCCGTTCCTGTTATATCGGAAGAAAACATACCAGGTCTACTACTGTCTGGTTTTTTTGGAAGATCTTGTACTTCTCATTTATCTGAACATCTTTAGTAGTGTCCAGCTAAAGTTGAATGCGCGCGAGCACAACCTCCAAAATCTTAAACGCAGCTCTGCTCTTCAATTTCTGAACTCGAGCCTCTCTGGCAAAGCGATCTTCGTTCTGCCGTGTCCTCCATCTCGTTTGCAAAGAGCCATACCGGATCCCCAGAGGCTTCGAATACCCATCAATTCCAACAGCCACGAGCTTGAAAGCTGGTATGACTCCGGGAACCGACCGAGATGCCAATCTACGAGACACGCAGTCGCCAAGTTGCTTCACGGCGCGTCCCGATAGCATCAAGAGGCTGGGCGGAGTTGGGCTCATCTATCGTGAATGTTCTGGCGGCGGATCCCGGAACATCCCCTGCTGTCGCAAAACCGGTGCAGCCAGGACGAGTGGCGAATGGGTACAGGCGAATTGAAGATATCAGCGGCGCATATTGCAATGATAGAGGACGTCGAGGTTTCAAGTGGAGCGTCGTTTGGTGCTATTGATTTATGTCGAAAAGAGTTGCCCCCACACGCCTGTCGGTGAAATCTTTGGACGTGCGGAACAACGTCGGTTCTCCGTTGGGGCCCAAGCGCTGAGAGGCTTTCTTCCTCCACGCCTCTCCCAGGACCACACCTCTCCAATTCTCCACGAAAAGCACACCAACACTTCCACCACGCCTTCAGACGGCCGTCTGCGCCCCCGAACCCGTCGCATCGCCCTCGTTACACGTACCGGACTCCTTGGATGGCCCAGACACTCGCAGACGCAGACGGTGCTCCTTCTTCCTTGTTTCTCCGGCCCTCTTCCGCCCTGGCTTTCTCATAGCAACACGAACCACGCTCCGCCGGCCAGGCACACCCATCACCCACCGTAGCGGCCTTGACCGATGAACTGCTCTATACCGTCTCCCCTCGTTCGATAGCCGTGGATCCGCTCAGGTTGTGCGCAGCCTGCGGCATTTTGGCCCAACTGCGATTCGATTCCTTGGCCCCTGCCAGCCTCAACCACGAGCACAGAGAAAATGTCTGATGACCGTCGCCGGGGCGCCGAGCCCAGTCTGGGGACGGATGATGGCCAGGAGAGTAGTGTATGTGAACCGCATGGCCCAATTGCGCCGTTTGCCTAGTTGTGCTGACTTCCCTTTGAGCAGTCCGCACCGCTCCCGCCTCCGCCTCCCCCAGATTCCCAATTCGAGCGCATAAGAGAAATGCTTGCCCAGCCAGTCGTTGCCTCGTTCATCGCCGGCGGTGTAGCCGGCGCCGTATCGCGAACCGTCGTATCCCCCCTCGAGAGACTGAAAATCCTCTTCCAAGTCCAGAGCGCCGGACGCAACGAGTACAAGATGTCGGTGCCGAAAGCATTAGCGAAGATGTGGAGAGACGAAGGCTGGAGAGGCTTCATGGCCGGCAACGGCACCAATTGCATAAGAATTGTGCCCTACTCGGCCGTGCAATTCAGCGCCTACAACTTCTACAAGAGGGTGAGCACAAATCTGAGATATCTTTCCCCCACACACCTTCCCTAACACGCATCCAGTTCTTCGAAGACGAGCCCGGCTCCAACCTCGGCCCCTACCAGCGTCTCTTCTGCGGCGGCCTCGCAGGCATCACGTCCGTAACCTTCACCTACCCCCTCGACATCGTCCGCACACGCCTCTCCATCCAATCCGCCTCGTTCGAATCCCTCAAGAAAACCTCTGCCCCCGGCGGCCAGAAGCAAAAACTCCCCGGCATGTTCGGCCTGCTGCGCAACATGTACAAGAACGAAGGCGGTCTCCCCGCCCTGTACCGCGGCATCATCCCCACGGTCGCGGGCGTCGCCCCTTACGTAGGCCTCAACTTCATGGTCTACGAAATCATGCGCACGCACTTCACACCCCTCGGCGAGAAGGACCCCACGGCCGTGGGCAAACTGGCCGCGGGCGCCGTCTCGGGCGCCGTCGCGCAGACGTGCACGTACCCGTTCGACGTACTGCGGCGCCGGTTCCAGGTCAACACCATGACGGGCATGGGGTACCAGTACAAAGGGTTGCTGGATGCGGTCAAGATGATTGTAAGGACCGAGGGGTTGAGGGGGTTGTACAAGGGGATTGTGCCGAATTTGCTCAAGGTGGCGCCGAGTATGGCGAGTAATTGGTTGAGTTTTGAGATTACGAGGGATTTTGTCATGGGGAAGAGGAGGAGTGGGTTTTTGTAGGGGGAGAGGCGGGAGGGTAAGGGTTTTGGAGATATAAGCAGGCATGATCTGTGAAGGGTGCTTCATGGTCAGGCATCCAGCCAGTTTTTGAGTGATGGAGGGGAACAGGTTGGCCACGGGGCAACCCTGCGCAATACTCATATGGGCCTCCGTGCCGAGTGAGGCCCATCAGCCCACGGTCTAGGGCCGCGGGAACGGAAGCAGTATCACGTATATAATGGCCAGCTCTGCTGAAGCCATAGGCATGCTGTACAAAGGGAACAGCCGGGGGAATTGGATAAGGGAGAGGGGGAAAGGGGCAAAGGGAAGCTCCTAAACAGTATTCATGTCATCATCATCATCATCGCCATCATCACAATCATCATCATCATCAAGAAGAAGGAAGAACAAAAGAAGAAGAAGAGGAAAAAATCATACTCCCAACGTGCTCTTAGAAAGAAGGCGAATCTGTATACCACATGGCATTTCCTTTCTTCTCCAATACTAGGTGGGATAGATGGAATGGAATAGCATCATGGACACGAGAGGAGGATAACCTGGATCCATAATTCCATGCATACATATATACATACCTAGGTACATACATACATGAGGACATGGTTGTTGCATCTAGTAGACTAGACTAAAAGCGTTCTGATTTACTTCAATCATGTTTTGCGTCATATCAGAACCTTCCGTTGTTCCAAGACTGTCTTCATCTAGATCAGCTGCCTAATAGTAAGTAACTATGTGTCCAGATTCTCTAGACATGCAATGTGCGAAACCAAACCTACTTCATACTCCCAGTTCCTTGACGGCCCTCCCTCCCGCCCTTAGCTACACCGTGCTTCTTCTAAAACTCCACCAGACCAGACCGCACCGTTGCACCAGAAGCGAGGACAGAAGAAGAGAGGAGAAGGCGGGGGAAGTGGTTGGAGGGGGGGGATACGTGTCTAGACAAAATCAATCATTTTCCCTCAAACCGAAAAGAGCGATCACTCACTACCACTACCACTACCACTACCACTACCACTCCATAATCGTAAAATCATCATTATACTTCATCTACAAGGCTTCCAGAGAGAAAGAAAAGAAACAAAGAAAAGAGGAGCCGCCCACCAGAGCCAGAAAGCCGGCGGGAAGAATAATGAGATACAAGGTCTAGAGATACTCCACATCCAAGCTCCAAGGCACCGAAAAAAGAAAAAGAATAGGGAAATAAGCAAGGAAAAAGCATCGTCATCATCATCTCATTATCATCGGAATGCCATCGTCGTCGTCGTCATTCGATCGGCCGTCACCTGCACCCAGCAGAAAGCAAAAGAAAGTCCATACAGAGCCTCAAAGAAACACAAAAAAGATAAGCCAAAACCCAATGAAAAATAAACTGACCAAAGCCGCAAACACCCCAACCAATTCCACACCCCAACCCTCCATGTAAAAGCAAGAACCACGAGGAGAACAGAGAAAAAAGTTCCCTAAGCAAACAACCGATTCAACACGCTCTCCAACGTCTGCGCCAACGGATTATCCTCCTTGCGTCTCCCATACTCGTCGAACCTCGGCGGCAACTCAATCGTATCGTCCGAGGCGACAGAGTCCGGGGAGTCGTCGCGTTTGCGTTCCCGTCGGCTCCGTCCGTTGGCATCTTGCTCGCGTTGGCGTTTCCGTGAGGAGCGGTCCTTATCCTTATCTCTAGAACTACGGTCTTCATCCCTCCTTCTCCTACGGTCAGGGGACCTTGACCGCGATCGCTCCCTCTCCGACTCCAGCACCGGCGACGGCGGCACTTCTGTCGGGTTCAAATCGAACTCGACTCTCTTGCCCGCCGGAGAAGGCGCCCTTGCCCTCGTCTCTCTGTCTCTTACATTGGCGGACGCTACAAAGTAACATGGGTTAGCAACTGTGTCTCAATGGGCAGGCGAACGCCTCGACCCACCACGAAAACTGTGCTCGGGATCCGCATATTCAGGAGCAGGAGCACTCACATGGTCATCCGGACCGCGACGGGGCGCATAAGGGTTGCCAGGTTCCGGGTGCATTTGCTGGGGCGGAGGGGTGTAGCCTGTGGGGGGAAAGTTGGGAGGAGGCGGGTAGTCGGCGGGATTGTACGGGACGTTCGGCGGTGGGGGGTATTCGGCTGGGTTGTACGGGTGGTAGGCGTTGTAAGGAGGGTAGTTGGGGTCGTTGGGCGTTTGGGTCGGTGGAGGTGGGAACTCGTTGGTTTGAGGGAAATATTGGGGATCCGAGGGTGCGTGGGTGGGACTGTAGCTGCCGGTCGAGTATGCTGCGTCTTCTTGCTGCCCTGGACATGGTTTAGCTACTACATTTCAGTGGACCTATTCCGTTGCATTACTTACGTTGGCGCTCCTTTTCGGCCTTCTTACGATCTCTGCGCTTCGCAGCCTCATGCGCAGCCAAACCGGCAACACCAGCTAGGGCCGCCGTCTCGGCCGCCTTTCGAGTGGCGCTCTTGCTCCGGCTGCGGCTTGAACGATGCCGGCGCCCTCCATCGTCTGACGAGCTCGATGAACCGCGGCGCCTGCGTCTGTGTTCGGAGGGTTCATCGTAGTCTCGAGAACGCCGGCCAGCGGGATCGGTGTAGATGGGATCACCACCGTACTCTACAAGGGCACTGTCACTTGCTGTGCTATGACGGCGTCGACGACCGGAATGTACCGACCTGGATCTAGACCGAGACCTGGATCTTGACCGCGATAGCTCTTTAGCCTCCTTCTTTGCCTTGTGCTTCTCGTAGAGCCCGGTAACAGCTGCACCGGCCACGCCAGCGGCAGCAATGGGGATGCCTTGTCGGATGCGGCTGCGGCTGCGCTCGCCTTTGCGCTCACGCGACTTGTTTCGCTGGTGCTCTACAAGCCCGGCAACTGCTGCAGTAGCGAGACCTGCCTGTGCAACCTTGCGGCTGCGATGCTTAGGATCCATGTGTCGGGTCTCCGAGCGAGCTCTGTCGCTGTCTGATGAAACAGAAGACCTCCTCCTTCTCGAACGACTGCGGCGATCTTCGATAACGGTCGTGTTGTTGCTATTCTTCCGGCCAGCGGCGTAGGCAAGGGCGCCGATTCCAGCAACAGCGGCGAGAGTGCCCAGCTTCTTTGCCTTGGAGGTGGACCGGCTGCGTCGTTTACGACCTCGTCGTTCGGAGGAGCTGGACCTGGAACGAGAGCTACCCTTAATCCGGCTCACAGCTTCGGCGCCCACGGCGCCCAAAGCTCCATAACCAAGTGCTTGACGAATATGATTGCCCGGGTCTTCACCTTGCTTCTTGCGATGATGGCGCAGGAGCTCGGCTGCTGCCACGCCGCCCAGGACGCCTTCAGCAAGATGCCGCTTGTGGTGAGGGCTGTGGTCACGGCCCCAGGTGTCCCGCTCTTTGCGAATGAATACGACGTCGTCGTCGCTATAGTACTCTCTATCACCGTAACGGTCGCGACCGTATTCGCGCTCCTCGTAGTAGTTCTCCTCGGGGTGGCCGTCGCGCTCGACCTTCTTGACTTTGCGCTCGTAGTAGTAGTCTTCATCGTGGCGAGGCTCGCGACGGGGCTCGCGACGTTCTTCCGCAACCTCGGTCCGTTCCACGATCTCGTAGGTGGGCTCTTCTCGGCGCACAATGATCTGCTGGCGAACGGGCTCCTGCAGGATGATGGGCTGAGGGGCTTCCTGGCGGATGATGATGGGCTGGGGCGGGGGCGGCTCGGGCCGGAAATATTCAGTAGACCTCGAATACTTCTCCAATTCGAATGGCGCTTCTCTGACGGGTTCTCGCTCATACTCACGCTCGAAGCGATACTCGCGCTCCAGTCGCTCCCGGACAGGTGGGGGGGACGGAGATCGCTCCACCTCGCGCTGGATGCGCACCTCACGGAATTCGCGAACGGGCGGGGAAGGAGAACGTTCAACCTCGCGCTTGATGTAACGATATTCGCGGACTTCTGGGGAAGGGCTGCGCTCGACAATGTACTCGCGGGTGTGGCGATGCTCGCGGGAAGGCTCGCGGTCGACCTCGCGGCGCACGATGCGCAACTGGGACTCGTACTCGTCGTCTTCCTCCAAGCTGTAGTCTGGAATCTTGTAGCGCTTGACTGTAGTATATGTGCGGGTTCCGTCTCGCGAGGACTCCGACTCCCAATCGCGGCCTCGTTCGCGCTCTTTGTAGATGATGGACATGGTGGGGTTCGCAGGCGCTCGCAGTAGATGGGAGTTTTATAAGCACTTCTTTGTCTTGAAAATCGCTGATTCTGGGTGTTGTTGTGCCGACACGCTCGTCTTCTATCGGGGTTGGGGAGGCGCGAAGAAGGGTGGTGAGGAAACGGGAGGATGAGTTCTGGGGGAGTCGGTGGGGTTAAGAGCCCGGCAGGCTGGTGAGATGACCGACGGGGGTAGCAGCGGGGCGCGCGGTTTCTAGTCGCACGGCGGGTGATTACGCCGCAAGGTTGTTTGGTGAATCAGCAAACCGGTTGCAAGGCTGGCGTGGGTCGAGGGTCGAGGGTCGAGGGTCGAGGGTCGGGCGAACAATGGACGGGTGGAAATGGATGGAAGTGGGCAGAGGACAGAGGGAGCTTGCGACTTTTTCTAAGGGAAAAGTCAGGCGCTGCCCGGTTTTGAGTCGAGATTATTCGATGGGTGTGAGAGCTTGGTACCAGAAGGGAGTAGAAGTGGAAGTGGGAGAGTGAGTGGGTTCGTCGGGTGATTGACGTCACACACGCGATGCGGGTATGCGTCTGCCCTCTTTTATATAGATTATTGTAGTAGAAAATACCATGAGAGGCAGGGCAGGGCAGAGGACCACAGCCACACGCCTGCGACGAACACCGTTTCCTGAACGTTTGTTGCTCTTTGAAAGGTTCGCAGCCTTGTAAGAGATCGAAGCAGCGACGTTTCAAGTCGATGGATTACAAGGCGCTCTCTCACCGGAGTCTGCGTGTGTGCCGCGTAGCACAGTCATCTACTGTGTATGGATGTTCTGGCAGCGCCACGGTGCGGTGAGCGGGCGAGCCATGAGCATGACCGGCAAGGCCCACGAGGCTCCGAGTGCCTTGTTAAAAGAAAAGGCTGCGTGTCTTTCTCATCCCTCATCTTCTGACCACCGCCAGAGACCAGCCCACGCCTCGTCCGGGTTCCTCAGCCCATGGTTGCGGCGTCCGGTGTGAAGGTGAATGTCCATGCCTTGGCAGTCAATACCCAAACACATTTTTTGACCTCTTGAGGAATGTATACCCGGATACACAGTACAAAGGACTGTGTTATTGGGAGCCAACATCCACGTGACCTCTAAACTTAGACTGTGTACTCCGTACTCCGTACTTCACCAAAGAAACGGGGCATCCAAGAATAGCGGCCAGTGGTGTGGCGTGGACGGCACGACGCCTCACAATGGCAGATCGTCTCCAGAGTCCAGTCATGGCAAACCGTCGGGAGACACCCACCCATGTGGAACGGAACACCGGCACCCAAGTCTTTTCACCATTTTGTGCTCCGCATGGGATTCCTCTGCTATATCTCCTTTTGCATATACCACCAGCCCCTACGCTGGCAGTGGAACCGTGTCCTCTATTGGAGACTCGAGACTAATTATCGGTTCGAGAAACATTATTGATGGACTTTGGATGAAACTCTTTGAACTCATGGACGAGTAATGTATGCGCTTCCGCGTCAGCGCCAAGCCCATAACCCGAGGGGCGCGCATGGCGAACGGGATATCATGGCAGGTGGATCATCATCTGTGAGTAATAAATTGAGTAGTCGAAGGGGAAGTGTGAGGAAAACTGCGGGAACAATATTGTGAAATGTGGAATGTGGAATTCTTGACTTTTGAAATAGTCCCAGTTGACGTTGACGTTGACGTTGACGTAGATGGAAAGTCGCCCCTTTTGTCGTCCGACTTCATAAGGGCCGAATTCTCTTTTCGTCCCGGATGCCCTCTTCCTCCAGCCTGTGCCAGAAGAACTGCCCCGGAACAGCAGAAATGTCACACCTGAGACCTGCACGGTACAGCCGCGCTCTTCCGCCCCCCACCTCTGGAGCACTGGAGCACTGGGCACAGGGTCCCCTGGATCCATCCTTGCGGGCTGAAATCTTGATCAATGATCGCAACCTCTCGGCTCTCCCTCCCTCCACTTGGCAAGCGGAAGGCTGATCCACCTTCTTGATCTTTCTTGAAATATGTCCTCGCCCTTGTCTCTGTCCCTCTGGGACTCCTATCCCTCTCCTCCTAGCCCATCTAATCTTCTCAACCATCTCGCCGTGCCGTGGCCGTGGCTCCCTGCCGCTCCTTCGTCCGCCTCCGCCTGCCTCCGCCTATCTCCAGGCCTTCGATCGCTGGCATCTCCCCGTCTCCCTTTCTTCGGCCTCCCCATATCCTTTGAGCCCCACAAGGCGCCCTCTTCCCTCCCACCAATCCATGACCGTTTAAACCTTAGAGAGAGTGGGCCTTGAAACATTCCAAATGGTCACGCTCCTCTCCACCTAGAACTTTTCCCATCTGTCTCCTTCATTCGTTTTGCATTGTGGACTCGTTGAGGCTATATAAGAAGCATGGCACCTCGCGATGCCAACTGGATAGACGTACGTGCCAGTAATCCGTCCCGTCAAGTTTGTACAATCGTCCTAACCTTGCGAATGCATAGGGCCTTCGAGGCGTCGCCTCCTTCATGGTCGTGTGCGGCCACCTCTGCACCGCTTTCGTCCCATGGCTTCACTCACCCGCCAACGAACCAAATACCCGACCGCACCTCTTCCAACTCCCCTTCTTCCGCCTCGCCGTCGGCGGCCGCAGCGCCGTAGCCCTCTTCTTCCTCATAACCGGCTATGTCAACTCGATAGGGCCAATTGGGAAGTCTCGCGCCGGGAACACAGACGCAGCCTTCCAGGGCATCGCTCGCAGTGCTCTGGCACGATCGGGGAGATTGGTACTGCCCACCATGCTGGCTACCTTCATCAGTTGGTTCTTGGCGAATACGGGCGCATACCATATGACCAAGCACGTCGACTCGACTTGGATCCGTCAGGGGTGGCATCGCCAGGAACCTACAATGTGGGCTGCATTGAAGTCGCTGGTACGAGCCGAGGTGGAGACATGGACGATTGGATGGGACGACTATGATGGCACACAATGGACTCTGCATCTCTTCCTCGAAGGAAGCATGCTGGTATACACCACGATGCTGGCGACCATCCTCGTCAAACCCAAAGCCCGCTTCATCATCTATGCCGTCCTGTACTTTTATTTCTGGCAGCAAGGCGAGGGTAAGTGGCCTTCATTCCCTTTTTGCCACTTCCTCTTTTCAATGTTTTTCCTAACACACTCCAGGCCTCGCCATCGGCGCCCTCAAGGGCCTCAACATCGTCACGGGCATGTTCGTCGCCGAACTCCACAACCACTTCAAAGACACCGCGACCTCCACTCTCCCCACCCCGGTCCCCGCCCTCCTCATCCTCCTCGGCCTCTTCCTCTCCAGCTACCCGCAAGACGCCCAACAAAACGCCCGCTGGTCGCACCTCATGCAGCGCCTCATGGAATCCGTGACGGTCAAGGACGCCGACGTGCGCCGCTACTGGGACCACCTCGGCGCCTCGACCCTCCTCCTCGGCATCTTCTTCTCCCGCACCGCCCGCAACATCCTCACCTCCCCCGTCTTCAACTTCCTCGGCCGCGTCTCCTTCCCCGTCTACCTCCTGCATAATACACTAATGAAGTCCGTCCTCACATGGATGGTTTATCTGCCCTCGGCCATGAATCCGCCGCGTAATGAGAAGGGCGAGCAGATGGATCTGAGGCGCGGGTCGACACTGCACGTCGTTATTGCTATCGGAGTGTTTTATTATCTCCTGTATAAGTTGGCGAGTCTCTGGGTGCAGTACGTCGATCCCGTTTGCGCAAAGATTGTCAATGCCGCGACGAGGTGGGCGTATGGCGAGGGGACCGCGCCGGCGATGCAGAATGGAGGGCCGATGATGAGGAAGGGGAGTGCGGAGAAGGGGGGTGTGTTGCCGGCTTAGTTTTCATTCATTTTTCGGATCGGAGGTGGGTGTGAAGAGCGTGTGAGTGCGCTGGTTTTTTTCTGCATCGCCTGCGTTGTTTTATTGTCGTCATTGCTGCCTATTACGGCTTTTTAGTCCGGCATTGTAGGGGTGCGGTTGGGATCTCGGGCATCTGGAAATTGCATATACATCGCTCTTGCATCTGAAGTTGACATATCGCGATCGTCTTTTGGGGGAGATTGAGTGTTGAGGATTGGACACTTAACAACACTGGCGTGGAGTTCGAGAAAGAGAGCTATAGGCCGATCATCAGATGGCATCATTGGTAATTTGAATAGTCGGAATATACCCATTCCTTTCAACGTCAGAGCGCGTTGTTTACTTGCTTGCTACTGAGATTGGTGGTCGTGTCCTCAGTTTGCTGTGCACGCTCGACGGCGGCGGGTATCAGAAAGATTCAGAAGTGGTGAAACGGGAATTCTGCGTCCGTTAGGTTGATTGAGTCCTGCATTAAATGACTATGAGCGGTTTTGTTGTAGGATTTGGTGTCCTATGTAGGGAGTCGTATCGCAGTGAATAGTAACCTTGTGATGGCAGTGGTAGAAGTGCATGCAATGTGCATTAGATATATATGCAATGTACTGGTATCTCGAAATAAACACTATCCAGGGCAGTACTTGATTCGTAATACCCCGCTGGTGCCACAGCGCACGGGATCGGATACCTACATACACGGAGTATCTCGTGCGCACGATATCACCCTCTGCCGGGAACGCGGGCTCGTTCAAAGTTCGGGTCCAAACAGGAGTCATGGGAATCTTCCACTAAGCTACTTTTAAGGCAGGACTAATGCTCGTTGGAAATCTGTATTCTGAAGAATAGGCAGAGTCGCGTTAGGAATAAAGGGATAAAGCGCTGTCGAGTTGATATTGGAGTCTGTAGAGGGTATGTCATGCAGTAGGCCGAGGTCAACTCAGATCTAATCTCTTGGCGTGACGCAACTCAGGGGAAAATGTCACCGGCGCATCTGTTAGATGCAAAAATGAAGCGAGTTCTTAGCGCATTCGCGTTGGATTTTCCCCCTACTAAAATTACTATAGGAACCCTAACTACGTAGGAATTGCGCTAAATACGCTCTACAACGCCTATATACTAGTTAAATATTTGTAATCTAAAGCTGTAGGTTATTCTTAAATAAGAAACCTGTAATACTAACAGTAGTAGAGGTTTTAAATTAATAAACCATGCCTATAGAGTTTCTACACTGCTACCTATTTTATCTCTGCCTATTATCCTTAAGCTATCTACCTAAGGCCTTTTAACTCGTATATGTCTAAATATATACTAGTTACTTCTTCTAAGCTAGCTATATTAGAGGATTATTAATAGGGAGAGCTGCTCTTTTGCCTTAGTATATAGAGTAGTTGTCAGATTTGATGATATCTGAAGATGTCATGGTGACAGAAAGATTGAATAAGGATGGGTTGACTGATTGTATTCAGGTGTATGCTTGTATATTACATGTGTATGAGGCTGGGGCCTGACACCGGTTTTGATGTTCTTTCTCTAGGCGCCAAGGCTGCACAGGGCACTAGCCACTGCAGAATCACTAGCCATATATCCTCAGACAGTACCAGTACAGACAA